TGAGAAACGATGTACAAATGCGCTTTACACAATTGATGTGTGTATGGATTGGGATAACAGTTGTATGAGCCCCTAATAAAATGTTAAAAAAGAAAAAAAAAAAGGCATCATACACCACCATGGGCGACACAGAAAAGTCCTGGGAATCAGAGAAGGCTCGGTTGGCCAGCCAAATCGACCGGCTTCTGTTCATTTTCTTCTTGTTCCAATAGGCCTGACTAGGAAGGCTTTCCTTGGCATCCCCGGTTGTCGTGGGAGTAGAAAACACTGAAGTTCACTTTTCTGAGACCACCTTTCCAGATATGTGCGGCCCTTTCTGCATCTGGCATAGCACAACTGAAATCTACTTACTAACGGGGGTCAGGACTGTGATTTTTAACAACAAACAAGGTCCCTGGTAGGGCAGCTGGCTGCCAACTCCTGACCTTACGAGGGGTGGTTTGAGCCTACCCCGTGGCACTGCAGAAGAAAGGCCTGACAACCTGCGTCTGTGAAAATGACCGCAGGGGAGCGCTCTGGAGCAAAGTTCGACTCTGTGCCACGTGGGGCTGCTGTGCGTCAGAATTGGCAGGATGGCAACCAGTTTGGTTCTGCGAGAGGCTATGGAAACTCCCACTGCTCGGAGTCTGCTTTCTACGGGCGACTATGGTAAGAAATGTGCTCATATTCCTGGCACACACCAAAACAACAACAGCATCTGGCCAAGAGCCACTGTCCATTATGCCATTTTAAATGCACACTGCCTCCGACGTCTTAATGATACTTCTTCCCAGAACCCAGAGCTAAGAGAACATGTTGCTCGTTGCATCCGTTAGAAATGTAAGAGAACCCCTTGGGTTACTCTTTGTGCTTTTGTTGCCAAGCATCTTAAGATGACTCCTGTGCTCATATAGACTCCTTTCCTTCGCTCATCGTTTCCTGGCATCCCCTCCCTGCATCTCCACACTGCATCATTCTTTGGGGCTTTGTGATTTTATTTTTGCTCATTATTTTCACTCAGTGGAATCTTTTCAAGAGACACACACACACGTGTGTGTTTCTCTTTTTTAACTAAAACCAATGAAGTCATGTAATAATAACTCCATACCATGGTAGATTATGAGCATTATTTGCCACGGAAAGTGTTCGTGCAGAGGTGGGTTGAACGCCTCGCTGGAATGCAGTATCCTTAGCAGCTGTAATTGTGCTACACTTGCAGGAAAATAGAGGCAAAGCAAATTCCAGGTAATAAGGTGGGTTTGTTCCATTCTACTTGAAACCCCGTGGTGTTTTCACCTGCTAGCATATCACCCTAGGTTCCAGGAAGACTCCTTTTGGTAGGTAAGTATATTCCTGTGATATCTCTTGGTTGGAGCACTAAAAACTTTGGCTAGCTTTTTATTAGGTTTGAGTAATCAGAATACTATACAGCATTTTGTAACAAATGGCTCATGTTTAATATTATAGACCCTGTTCAAATCTGACAAAGGCTATACATTTATAT